TCCAGGCGCTGGAGCTGAGGCCCCTGCAGCCTGTGGTGCACACCATGGTGGAGCAGCTGTGCCCCTGCAGCCCATGGAGGACCATCAAGGTGCAGAGACCCACCTGCAGCCCATGGAGGAGCCCACGCTGGAGCAGGTGGATGCATGAAGGAGGCTGTGATCCCTTGGGAGGCCCAGGATGGAGCAGGGTCCTGCTGGAGATCTGCAGCCTGTGCAGAGGGAAGTCCACACTGGAGCAGGTTTTTCCTGGGTAGGACTTGTGGCCCCAGTGGGAGACCCACATCGGTACAGCTCATTCATGAAGGACTGCACCCCATGGAGGAGTGACCCACGGGACAGCAAGTTGGGAAGAACTGCTGCCCGAGGGATGGACTCACACTGGAGAGGTATCGAGGACTGTCTCCTGTGGGAGGGACCCCACAGGAGCAGGGAAGGACTCTTCTCCCCGAGCAGCGGCAGAAACAACTGACCATAACCCCCATTCCCCATACCCCTGCACTGCTGGGGGGAGGAGGGAGAACATGGAAGGAAGGAAGGGTGGGGGGAAGTCATTTTTAAGACTGTTTTATTTCTCACTCTTTGGCTCTTATCCTGTTAGTAACAAATATAAGTACTATCCCCACTTTGAGTCTTGTTTTGCCCATGAAGGTAATCAGTCACCGACCTCTCCCAGCTCTTATCTCTACTCATGAATTCTTAGCTGTTTTTTTCTCTCTCTCCCTTGTCCAGTTACAGAGGGAGAGTGAGAGAGCGGCTTTAGTGGGTACCTGGTATCTGGCCAAGGTCAACCCACTACACCTTCACAAGTCTACCAGGGGATGAACAGCCTCTCTCAACTGTAGTCTCAAGGCGTTAAGTCAGACCCTTCCTAAATCACTCTGATTTTGTTGGCAATGCAGGTGGTTGGGGAAAGCTGGCCTGCTGCTTTACAAGGCACCTACACTGCAGTGCGACTGCTCTCATCCCTAGGAGTGAGAAATAAAATGGCCTAGGTAGAGTGACCAAGAAACACCAGCGTGAAGAGAACAAACACAAATATTGTACCTTGTCCTACAGAAAACAGAGAAAAAGAGCAGCTGATTTTTAAAGGTTTCCACAGATCAAGAGAGAGCATATCAGTGAACAGTCACTGCTGGTTATATTGTCTTGTTGCAACCAATAGGTCTGTCTTCTTTAAAGACAGAGTGATAAGGGAGAATTTTTACCAAAAAAAATCCACATACTTAAGATAAAAATTTGGGGCAGAGTTGTTTAGCAAGGAGAGAAAATGAGAGAACAAGTATGCACACAAGTGAAGATCAGAGCACTGCACAAACATTTAAAGGCAGGAAAGTTTGATCCAGCTTGAAGTATAGTAGCCAGATCCTGAAAAAATACTAGAGAGGAAAAGTCTTGGGAGGGCAATTCCTAGTGATTACCAGTGATGTAAGAATGGAAACAATCTGCTTCTGAGGCCAAACTCAGAAGTCCAATCAAAACCTCAAAAAAATGCAAAAGCAGCCTACAGGCACTCAGGTAGCTCAGGCCAGGACCACCGCAGTCTAAACATGTTCCTGGGCCCAAGGCCAGGATGTCAGGGGTGGAGCTCCAGGGGAGGACAGTCATGGCAGTTAAGTCATACTGGGTGCCCACAAGGCACTCACACAAATAGCAATAAGACTTAACTGTTCTTGACTAAGATTTGGTCAGCAACAGGTCCTGCATCAGAATTTTGGTTAGAGCCCAAAGAATATTTTTTATGAAGGACTAAGCTGTTGTTCAGTAATGAAACTGAAAAAAAAACTTACAACTTCCCAAGATCTAGACAAATTCCTCCTAGAAAGCATGGCACTGTCTTTTATTCAACTCTAGCTTTTGGTCCTAGATGCACATCTGAATTTTGTTTATTAAAACTTTTTCTTCACACATTTTCATAGCAATTTTCAGGTATTTCTGGTATTTTGAAACAACACCTTATATATTTATTTATTTATTTATATATACATATATATATATATATAAAGGCAGGAAGTTGTCTGGTCACTCTCATGAAATAATGCAAATGTGAAAAATTCCAAATGGTTCTCTCAATCCAAGGCAGAAGTGAAATTTGCATCTGACAGCAGTATCAGATTTTCCCTCTAACCACCACCCTTACCAATGTCTTTCATTAGCACAGATCCCATGCCATGGCCTGCAGGACCTGCACTGACTATGAGTTCAGACCAGTATAGGAAAAATTTCATGTCATCAGCACTTAGGTCAGTAATGCAGGTTACCTGTGTGACTTCCACAGGGATTCACAGTCCATAAGAATCTTCTTGGTCTAAAACTTCCCCCTGACAGTTCCCAATATTTCTGCAGCTTGGCTGAAGGATAAGGGGTACAATGTACAGAGATCTTGTGAGACCCCACCTGGACTACTGCGTCCAGCTCTGGGATCCCCAACATTAAAAGGACATTGACCTGCTGGAGCAAGTCCAGAAGAGGGATATAAAGATGATCCAAGGGCTGGAGAACCTCCCCTAGCGAGGGCAGGCAGAGAGAGTTGAGGTTGTTCAGCCTGCAGAAGCGAAGGCTCCAGGGAGAACTTAAACCTAAAGGAGGCCTGCCAGAGAGCTGGAGAAGAACTTTTTACAAGGGCAGGTAGTGATAGGACAAGGGGGAATGGCTTTAAACTGAAAGAGAGTAGGTTTATCTTGAAAAATTAGGAAGAAATTCATTACTATGAGGCTGGTGAGGCACTGGCACAGGTTGCCCAGAGACGTTGTGGATGCCCCATCCCTGGAATTGTTCAAGGCCCAGTTGGATGGGGCTTTGAGCAACCTAGTCTAGTGGGAGGTCTCCCTGCCCAGGGCACGGAGGTTGGGACTAGATAATCTTTAAGGTCCCTTCCCACCAAAACCATAGTATCGATGCTATGATTCTGTGACTCTATGATCCCATGCCTTTCTCTGCTGCTAATAACTTCTACATCAGAAGAATAAAAAGACTAATCTAGCCCCTCATCTAAACCACTCAACTTTTCTTGCCCACTAGTTTCTTTCTTACTCCCCTACGCTACTAACAATAGCTCACAAAAACTGACAGAGACAAGACAATTATATTTAAAATTTATTTCCCGGTACAGTTGCAAAGGGTGCCAGAAATGAGCCAGAGATATTCCTGAAATGTCTGCCCATGCCCCTAAAACCAAGTTTGCACCAAGAAGCGCTGTCCTGTTAGAGTATTGATTCTGACAACTTTTAACACATCAAGTCAGCCCAAATGGAGGGAGCGCTAGTTGTTTCACTGCCCTCAGACGACCTAGGCTTTTATCAACTAAACTCAACTTGCTTTTCCTTGCCTTTGCACAGGGCACTGTCACTGACTTCACAAGGCCTCAGGCAGCTTATAAATAAGTCCCTGTTGATAATACCAGCATCCACCTGGTTTTCTGGCCTGTACCAAGGAGCTGGTACAGCCAGAGAGCAGGCTGGTATGAGAAGTAAGCAAAAGACAGAATCACAGAATCAACTAGGTTAGAAAAGACCTCTGAGATCACTGAGTCCAGACTATAAGACACGAGCGAGGAAGAACAAAAAAAATATAACATCATAAATATAAGAGTGTGTGTCCTTATGTACACACGGCAATGGCTAAATTTCAAAAGATATCATTTTAAAAACCTAACCAGAACTAGATATTTGAATCCTCAGAATGAGATATTTAAATCCCTATTGCTAACACTATCAAAAGCATGTCTTAAGGAGCCATTTGTTCTAAAAGCTGGCACAAAAGGATCTGTTTGCACACATTCATCATTACTGACTTTAAAAGCTGCATTTTAAAAGAATGACAAAAGCTTTGCAGGGTAAAAGGCTGGTACACACTGCACTTAAGGAAAACAGATGGGTGTATTGGCACTTGTGTTTTGTATTCTGATCTGCTTTGGATATATATAGCTGCTCACTTTTAGCAGTAATTACAAGCCCAGCTCATTGGCCAAGATCCTAAAATGGCCAGTGCTGTTTAGGCATTGACTAAAAAGATGACATTTAGTCGAAATAACAAGAAAGAAGTCTATTCAAAGAATGCTGGAGAGGAGATAGAAAAAACAATATGCTTTTGTAAACTCAGTTACACCAGAGGCTTCATAAGTTTGCATTTTAGCCTCTGTTAGGTCAAACAGAAATGTAACAGGAAGGAAAAAATAATCAAAGGAAATTATAATAGGCCAAAGTCTTTAGAAGGATGTAACTTTTCACCTCAACAGCTGAGTGTGACAGTGGAACAAGACCAGGCTGGGCTGAGTAATCACGTGGTCTGTTTGGAGATGATACCAACATCTTCTTATTGGATCTGTCATAATGCTGCTTTTTAATTAATTAGTGATTACACAGGCAAATAAGGGCTGTGTCCCTGGCTATCATTCTCCTGACACTGAACTCACATTCATGTTTTCACCTGCAGGTGTAAGGATGACTCTTCTTCCTCAGTACTTCACGCCTGAATCTTGCACAAGTTTATTCCCAAAAGGCTGACCATCCATCAGTGTTTCCTAGTATTTTAAAAATTTTTAAAATAGCAGAATTAAGATTCTTCCCTTTTGGGTTTTTTTTTTTTTTAATTATATATTTCTTTCATGCATTCTTCACGTTATGTTATTTTCATCTGTTGTATCCCATCTTCAGCTGAGGCCTAATGAACATTTCTCAGATCTCAGTGTTACCCATGGGGAAGTTGGGATGCACCACCACACCTTCCCTCAGCCAGCAGCAGTGGATTTTAACCCTCAAGGAGTAAGAACAAATACTATGCTTTCCTATGATCTCTCAAAACTACAGCCATAGAAGGCTTGTTTCTTGAAGAATAGCTGGACATTCACATAAATGCTTTACACACCTAAATTCTCTACTGCTGCATCTGAGCATATACACAGAGTAATGCTCTTCTACAGGGAACACATACACTCGAGTTTTTGAAAAATGGCCAAAACCCTTTAGTGAAACTAAATAATCCTGTTAGGTGTCTGGCAATAAAACTCATAACTTAACTGGATGTTTGATGTAGGGAAAAATTAGATTCTGAATGCAATACAAATTGTTCAAAAGAAATAGAACAGAGAAGGTAGTAACTTTAGAATACTACAGCAAATACCCAATTTCATTGTATTTTTAACTAATATCAAACGTAAACACAAATATAAGTTGTAATGCAACTGAAGATAGTATCTTCAGCAACCAGAATTAAGATAACATGGATAGACTACTAGGCAAAGTCAGATAGAGGCAATAGCCTTGAAGTGGCCAATTGAAATAGCTGGGAAAAGTCCATAAACCTTGGGCATGCGTGTTTGTCTGAAGGAGGACATTTCACATTTCACAGAAGGCTTATTTAGACTTTCCAACTAGACTAGTCTCTTGGAAAAGACTAAATCTAATAAACTGTGGCTATTTACATTCCTCATCCAGCTCTTCTTTTTCTTTTTTCCTTTTAAAAAGATCCTGATCTCAATGTGGCAAACTTTTTGGGACACAATATTTTCAGAAAAGCCATTCTAAATTTAACATGACATAGAGGGTAGAGAAATGGATTCAGAGAGGAATTGATCCATAAAAGCCAAAAAGTTGCTTCATACAGGGCATTATGGACACAAGTTCCCTGGCAGGCCCCACGAACAATCATTAATAAAGAGTATGGGGCCCAGCAAATGGCAAACACACAGACAATTATGGCAAGTGACTTCGCAATTTTCTTGTCCTGCTGCAGTTTTGACCTAGTCTTTGAACAGAGGGAAACAGAAAATTCATTTTCTGGAGTAACAGAATTCTCTCTTGATGGAGATGAGCAGTCGGTTACCAAAGACTCTTTCTTTGGTCTCATGGAAGAAGAAACACTGTCCTCTGCTTCCGAGGAAGGAGAAGATGCCCCTGACCTTGGCAAAGGGCAAAATCTCCAGGACAGGCTGCTGCTCCTTGGAGGCTCACAGTCCTGCACACTGCCTTGCCGCTGGCGCCTCTGGATGCTGTGGAAGATGTGCATATTGAAGTAGATCACCAGGAGCAGTGGCACAAAGAACTCCAGGGTGGATGCACACAGGAGGAAGTACCAGTTGTCATAGAACTCGGCGTAGCACTGATCTGCTGCTACTGCGCTGTGTCCGGCCACGTGCTCCCAAAAGAGGATTGCTGGGCAATAGAGGAGAAAGGCTAAGACCCATATGGCCACCATCTTGATGGCAGGGTTGGAGGTTATTCCCTGCTGGGCTCTGTAAGATACCTGCAAGGGAAAAAGAAAGAAAAAGGTCAGATTTTTGAGATACATTTTGGAACCAAGGGAAGTAGCAGAAGAAGTCATCACAGTGCTTGGTAATTTAGAGCTATGGCTCTGCTGATCAGCTGAAGCTCACCCAAGCATGTTTAATTCATTGATGTTGACATAGCATAGGGTTGTCTCTCTACAGGTTAGTGTAGCTGTACAAGGATCATGGTCCAGGGTATGAAACATGATCATCCATCAGTACCTAGTAATTTGGTATGCCTTGTTTGAGACACCTTGTGATCTGAAGTTCCAGAGTTATTAGTATCTTATAGTTGTTCAGAGCATAACTCCCATTCACTGGCAATTGCAGTGCTTTCTGCAGTATTTTGCAAACAAATAATGTTATATGCATCACAGAAATCAACAGAAAATGTGGCACATAGATTTAACACCCACCTTTAAGAAAATTGCTTATTGGACATTTCATGAGAATGAAGGAATAGATTCCAGCTCTGCAATGCAGTCCCTAGCTGATGAAACTACAAAATCACCCCTTTTCTTCCTTCTCCGACCACTCCAGGACTAGTACCTATTTTCCACTATATGCTGTAGACAGAGAGGTACATTGCAGTTCACATCCTTTTCCACCCCTTTCCCAGGATGACAGAGTAAACAATTCTGGGAGCTTAGATATCCAATTGAAAACACAAGCTCGAGCTAATGTCATATTCATGCAGGTGCTCTGAATTTTGTATTTTGTAAATGCTGAGTCTTTGGCTTTCCAGTGTAACATTTCTTACATACCAGATGTTTTGGTGTTTGTTTTCCCAGATTTTTTTCCTTAAAATAAAATAAAATAATAAACCTTAATATACAGGCAATTATAATAAGTGGAATTAATTACAATTGACAAAAATAAGACTGAAATGCTATTGTATGATGTTATGTTGGCAGTCTCATACATCACAAAAGAGCTGGAACCTTTAGTTCTCCCTGACATTCCCTGCCACTTGAGCTAGCAGCATAGCTGGTGAGAAATGCCGGCATCCATTTTCGACATTACCTGAGACATAAAGCACACACAACGTGTGTAGGATGCTGTGAAGAAAGCAAAGGCAGAGTGCATCTGAAGTTTGGGATTCTGCTCCAAGAGGACTTTATTGCCACATTTCTACAGGCCATCATTGCATTCTACCCCTTGTCCCATTCTCTGCCTGTTTGCTCTTGCTCCCAGTCTTCTCCAGGAACATTTGTGGCCACATCTCAGGTCTAGACATCATCCCTGATGTCCTTTATTTCACTGCCTTAGCTTCACTGCCTTTTCCTCCCATTCCTGATTTTACATCCAAACCCAAATCCAGTTTACTCTGAATTTCCTCTTTCCTTGCCTGTTTTTTACTAGTCTCGTGCCTTACCCTTTTTACCCCTTAGCCTGCTTTTCTTCAAGCAGTAGCACAACGTGAAGCAGAAATTGTGAGAAAAGTCCTGGTTGACTAGCTCTGTGCTAGGGCATGCTCAATGAGGAATATTCATCCAATCTAGCTGCAAATATCTAATAGTCTCCACATGTCAGTATATTTTTGAGAGCTATTATCTCAATTAAATTTTGGGCTTATACTCACAAACATAGCAAAGGTTGATGAATATAATCCTCCAACAAAAAAATCAGAGAAGCTGTAAACAGGGTACTTACGGCTCGAGTAACTGACAGGAAACGGTCATAACTGATAAGAACAATGTTAAATACTGAAGCTGTGCACAGGAGATAATCCATGACTAGCCAGAGCTTGCAGATGCCTCTTCCCAAGTGCCACTTTCCCGTCAGGCTGTATGGGATGTAGAGAGGTATGCAGAACACACCTGTGGAAAGCAACCACAAAGACACCATGCAGTTCATATGGACTGCAAACGGTACTCTGCAAGCAGAGAGACACATTATTATGGAATTTGGGTAAAAGAAATTAACAAATCTATTAGGGTGGATATATGATTTATATACAGAAATTCATAAATTCTCATGAAATCTGGTGGTGACTTTCTATGTATTAGATCTTAGTGCGATTTATGTATGCTGATTGTTGGAAACAAGCTCAAAGCAAATCAGCGAAGAAGGATCTACTGAAGAAGAAAACTGCAGTCTAACCAATTTACACTCTCTAAAGGTACATAATTAGTGCTGCAGCATATATGCGCTGTGGCTGCATTCTGACATGTAACCTCATCGCTGTATTTCCTCTAGTCTTTTGTCTTTTAGAGCTTCCCCCAGGCATATCTACAGCTGTTGCCAATGGCAGTTTTTATTGTAAGATTGGTTAGCATTTGCAAGCTAAAGACAATATATTGGACAGTCTGTGTGGTGTTTGGAAATGTCTTCTACCAGAGATAGAACAGACACAGCAGAAGAATGAAACTCCCATTTTTAAGGAGTGTTTTAATCTTGTCCTTGTTCTCCACCTGAGAATAACTCCAGAACCAATTTTTTTTCTATTAAATTTGGGGTTTTTTGTCCAAAAGGCCTTCAACAGAAGTACTTAATTAAGAAAATCATGTTTGTCTTTCATTTTTAACCCAGCAACTTCTTCATTTTACCTCTAATATTCTTTCAAAAGTGTGGTGCAACATCTGATACTACATTCCTGGAAATGCTGATCTACCAGAGACAAATAGAAAGTTATATGCAGCTTCAAGATTCATTTTAAACTCTCCAGCTTATTCTTTTCTTGGTATGTCCATCAAGACCTTAGAAGCTACTGAACATTACCAGGCTATGTGGCCTACTGACTATAAACCTCTGGGCAATGAGCTGACAGATTGCTATCAACAGGGAAATGTGTACAGCTCTTTCGATAATGATGGCTTGTTTAACACATACCCTAGATACAAGCAGCAACACTTCTGTACAAAATACTCATTTTCCATAGTTGCTGATGACAGCTACTGTTCTCATCAACTTCTATGGGATCAATGTTTGCTTTCATGTCAAAAAGAAATTACTGGTTTTGGCCATAGATATAAATATAGAGGCAAGAACCAGGTTTTAAGCATTTATATTTCAAACTATTCTCACTTTTACTAATTAGTGGATGGAAAAGACATGAGCCACATCCCTGGAAAGATTCCAAACTTTTAATAAATTAAAAAACAAAACCAAAACAATAAACAAACAAACAAAAATGACGAAATGAAACAAACAAAAAAAAATTTAAAATTTAAAAAAATGAATAAAAAAAAAAAACCAGCAACTTCAGAAAATAAAGTATTTCCTGACCAATACCAGACACAAAATCTTAGATTTACACTGTCTATATAGGCTAGTGTAATACTGATACCAGTCATTTCCTCTTGGTTGATTTAAGACTACGTGAGGCACCAGCCACAAAGAAGAACTGATGCAGAAGGAAGATGTTTGCACCTCTTGACTACACTATGAGATATGAGGAAAACCAGACTTTTGCAGAAGACCTGAGCTATGAAATAGCAGCTCCAGCTGCCTGGGCAGGAAAACAAAGGCTTCAGCAGATGCATCATTTGTTTTCTGCACCATAGGGCGAGTCCCAGAATAAGGCACCACCGGTTATAAATGGCAGAAATAAAGGAAAACCTTAAAGGCTAGACTAATACACTTCAGTACAGAGCACTGACAAAGGAACAGCATTTAGGGATTGCCAGATGTGCAGTGGGTCGGTGAGGGCTATTTCCTTTTTCGTGATTCAGTGAATACTGGTCTCTGTGACTGTCCTGAAGACAAAGTACTTGTATGCAGAAATACCTCTTTGCTAGCCTCAAGTCAAGATGCTTGCACATCTTGCTGGCACATCTGCCACAGGACCATGGTTTTGTCAGGCTTTCTCTGCTGTGTGGGCTGTTTCCCTGGCCTGAACCATGGAGGAGTACTGCACAAGACATTCACACCCCCACCTCCTCACTTGGCACCACCAGTCAGGGCTGGATCCACGGCACCTCCAGTGACCAATTCTTCTGGAGTTCTGCAATGTCACTATGGGAAGAGGGGACCAATAAGGAATACAGATGGAAGATGCCATCAAGGTATTACTGATATCGAACAACCCATTGGATCAATAGCCTGTGCTAAGTTGAAGCCAGTAAAAAGTCCCGGTGGTAAACTATTTTGTTGTAGTGCCATACATTCAAAAGTCATTAGTACTATGTAGAGAAGTAATTCATTTGCCTGGATGTATCACACATAGCTGTATAAGAAAACAATTACACTGTCAAAAATAAGGATATTCTGAAGTGTGTGATGAACAGTCTTACAGGAGGGGCAAGGGCAAATCACAAACTGTAGCAAAAAAACATTCTTCCTTCAGTTAGTATTTACATGTAATACTTGGTTCTTTTTCCTGAAGAAACATTAAAAGCATTTCTATGAAAAGGGATGCATTTCTCGTTATAACATATTTTGAGGCACAGTTGCCTGCTAAAACACATTCCTTTCCCTTCCCCTACAAACATTTGGGAAATAGTTATCTTAGAAGAAACCACACAGAAAATAAAACCCAGTGCTTCTCCTAAGATTCCCAGGACACAATTAGCACAGGCCTCCACCACTGTGACTTACCCACTGCAAAGTCAGAAACAGCAAGATTGAGAAAGAAATAGTTACTCCGATGCCTGAGGTTTCTGTCCAGGATGAAAGCAAGGATCACCAGGATGTTTCCAAGGATGGTGACCAGACATAGCAACACCATGAGGAAAGCCAGCAGCACCAACACGCCCAGGGAAAACTCAGAGCTGGGTGACTGGGTGGGCCGAGTCTCATTACACGCTGCAGCCACATGCAGAGTTCCGGCAGTGCTGTTGTGCATGTTGTGTATCCCGGTCAGTTCAGCCTGGGAAGAAAGCTGTATCTGGCAGAGTTATCCAAAAGACAAGTCTATTAACAGGCTGGGCTGAATACTGACCCTTTCAAAAAAATTCACAATATCAAAATGATGGAACACAAGACTTCAAGACCTGGAGTCTCTAACATTTCTTGATCCAAATGCACCTATTGGTCTGAAAAAAGACACTCATAAGCAGCAGTAAGTGCACACTTTGAAGTAGATTATCTGTTTCTTTCCTGAATACAGATCCTTATCTACTGAGGTCAAAAAAGCTACTCTTTTCACAGTCAAGCAGTTTGCATATTAGCACTGTGTAAGCAGTTTTATACATTGAATTCTGCAGAAGCTAAAACCAGATCTCATTTTCACTTCCACCGTGGTCAATGGGATTTAAATTATTACAATTCTATTTCTGTTACAGTAAAATGTAGGCACTTTTACACTTGCTGCTACACCCCTTATTAAATTTTACAGTTAAGAACAGAGAGATGTTAATGCTGCTGGTTACAGAGCAGTTAAAATGCAGTTATACACAACAGAAGCATCACCAATACCCTTTCAGCTCTTCCTAATCAGAAGCAAACCTAGCCCTGGGCAGGGCCAACCAAGTTTCTGGACTTTGCAGGTCTTTAGAAATATGGCCCACTTCTAAATCTAATCCTCTACTTCCAAGTAATTCCTGGTAAGCTTCCACTCCAAAAAGCACCAAACCTTTAGCCCTCTGCAGGTGTGAGAAAACATATCCATTCCTCATCACAATTCCACTTATTTTGGTAGGGGTGCACAGCAGTTGTCGGGCCATGGCTGTGACTGCTGCCTGCAGCTCAATGGCTCTGTAGCAGCATGGCACACCCTGCGACCAGCATTTCTAACTGAGGCCGTAATGCTGGGTGCTTGAGGAGGTGTAGGACAAGTAACAAGCAAAGAGAAGGTGGGCAAGATGTGGGGAGGAGAGGTACAGTGCTCTGATCCTGTCTTGCTGAACACAGGGAATTATAGTATAAAGAGTAATTAAAGCAAAAGGTGTAGGGCAACAGGAACACAAGAGACCTCAGGAATGATAAAATGTAGCAAAGAGACACCTGCCTTAGGGGAGGGGTGTGCACAACTGCAGCCTGGGAAATGCACTTGTGGCAGGATGGCCTACCTGGATAAGGCCTAGAATCCGATCGGAGAATGCATACAATGCAAGCTATCATGCAAGTTATCTGTGGTGAGCTACAGCTGGCACCAAGTTGTGTTTTGGTGTTGAATTATGCTAAAACCAGCCTGGTTCACCAAACTTCAAACGCACATCCTGCTTTTTGAAGCAGGATTTGACAGATAAGCTAGTTGCTGGCCTGTAAATCTGTGACTACCAGTCTACCACTTAACTATAAAAGCCCCACCCAACTTTCATATAGCAGATTCTTCCACGTACTTCCTTGAAGTGTGGAGCTTCTCCCATGAAGCAGGGACACCCCTTCATGCATACTCCCCCGAGGTTAAGAGAAAGAGAGAGATCTGCCCACTATCTCGTATGGTAAATTATATCAATCTCTACTTAATGATTGTTTCTTTTGCTAGCTTTGATACAATTGCTTTAATATAATCGCTTTGATACAGTGCACTATACTACTTTATGCTATATTATACTCTGTGAGTAGGTTCTTAGCCTTTATACCATATAGTAAATAATTCTGATTTGGATAATTTGTCTGTTCACCCGTCTGTTCATTTGTCACAATAAATAATTCATTTTAAACAAATATAGCCGATTTGCCATTATTAAAACCTGCAGGACAAAGTGATTTAATCACACCTCTATAATTCCTTAAATTTAAACCATTAACACAATTCAAGGCTAAGATAGGATTCAGCTGCACCTAAATTCCTCTCTGAGAAGGAGTTTAGAAAGTGAATCCTTTCTGCACTTTGTAACCCAATGGCAGGGCTTCTTTAATAACCTTGTCTAAGCCTTCCACTCCCACCCATGACAGCACCAGAGGAACTAGAGCTTCCTGTACAGTCACAAAGCACACTTGACATGGGTTACATTGTAATGGGACCGTGTTGCACAGCACTCTGATCAAGGCAGGGAGGTGATGAAGTCTTCTTTAAGCAAATCAAGGAAGCTTCTGGATCACAGGACCTGTTTCTTGTGTAGGACTCTACAGTTCATGGCATCTGCTGGAAGTGCAACACAGCAGGTACAAGCAGCGAACAAGGTTCCCGGAGGGTGTCAGGGAGAACTTACAGATACAAGCACTGCATGGGCTAACAGGGTTGACACAGAGCTGGATCGGCTGGCAAAGAGAAGCTGGTTCAGGATGTGTTATCAGTGCCAGATTTGGCTGTAGTGATGATGAGGTAGTGGAATTCAAGATCCTAAAGGGGGTAAGGAAGGAGAGTAGCAGTACAGACCATGGACTCCAGGTGAGCAGACTTTGGTTTAGGAAACTGGTAGGTGGGATCCCATAAGAGGCAGGTCTGAAAGCAAAGGAGGTCAGGGAAGTTGCAGGCCTCTAAGGACAGCAACCTTCATGCACAAGAAAAGCCCATCCCAATTCTCAAGAAAACAAGCAGATGTATCAGGACAGTGGCTAACCAGGGCAATGCAAAAAGGCAGTGTGGAGGAGTGTGAAGGAGGGATAAGCTACAAAGGAGATATTTTAGAATGTTGCCTGGCCATATAAGAATAATGTTAGGAAAACAAAAGCTCATCTAGAATTAATGCTTGTAAAGGACATCAAGGACAACATAAAGAACTTCAGCCACCCCATTAACAGTAAAACACTGAATAAGAAAAATGCAGGTGCTTTGCTGAATGGTGCCAGTGATCTCATAATAGCAGGTGCAGAGAAGGTTGAGGTACCCAGTGCAATCTTTGCTTCATTCTTCACTAACTAGATCTCCCTTTTCTCCATGCTAAGTGAACAAGTTCAAGGAGGAGACCTGTCAGGAGCAGGTGAGAATAAGGCACAATTACTTAGGGGGACTTGACCTATAAGAGTCATAGAATCATAGAATCAGCTGGGTTGGAAGAGACCTCCAAGATCATCAAGTTCAACCCTTGATCCACTACCACTGTAGTTACTAAACCATGGCACTAAGTGCCACATCCAGTCACATCTTAAAAACCTCCAGGGACGGAGAATCCACCACTTCCCTGGGCAGCCCATTCCAATGCCTGATTACCCTCTCTGTAAAGAATTTTTTCCTAATATCTAACCTAAACCTCCCCTGGCACATCTTAAGACCATACCCCCTTGTCTCACTGATAACTGCCTGGGAGAAGAGACCAACCCCACCTGGCTATAACCTCCTTTCAGGGAGTTGTAGAGAGTGAGGAGGTCTCCCCTGAGCCTACTCTGCTCCAGACTGAACAATCCCAGTTCCCTCAGCCTCTCCTCATAGGACTTGTGCTCAAGTCCCTTCACCAGCCTTGTTGCTCTTCTCTGGACCTGCTCCAGCACCTCAATATCCTTCCTGAACTGAGGGCCCAGAACTGGACACAGCACTCCAGGTGTGGCCTCACCAGCGCTGAGTACCAGGGAAGAATCACTTCCCTGGTCCTGCTGGCCACACTGTTCCTGATACGGGCCAGGATGCCATTGGCCTTCTTGGCCACCTGGGCACACTGCTGGCTCATGTTCAGCTTCCTGTCAATCCAAACTCCCAGGTCCTTCTCTGTCTGGCTGCTCTCCAGCCACTCTGTGCCCAGCCTGCAATGCTGCAGGGGGTTTGTTGTGACCAAAGTGCAGGACCCGGCACTTGGCCTTGTTGAACCTCATCCCCTTGGAATCAGCTCAACTCTCCAGCCTGTCCAGGTCCCTCTGCAGAGCCCTCCTGCCTTCCAGCTGATCAACACTTCCCCCAGCTTAGTGTCATCTGCAAATTTGCTGATGGTGGACTCAATCCCCTCATCTAAATCATCAATAAAGATATTAAACAGGACTGGGACCAACACTGATCCCTGGGGGACACCACTAGTGACCGGCCGCCAACTGGATGCAGCCCCGTTCACCAGCACTCTCTGGGCCCAGCCCTCCAGCCAGTTCCTAACCCAGCAGAGAATGCCCCTGTCCAAGCCGTGGGCTGCCAGCTTTTCCAGGAATATGCTGTGGGAGATGGTGTCAAAGGCTTTGCTGAAGTCCAGATAGACCACATCCACAGCCTTCCCCTCATCCACCAGGTTGGTCACCTGATCATAAAAGGAGATCAGGTTGGTCAGACAGGACCTGCCCTTCCTAAATCTCTGCTGGCTGGGTCTGATCCCTTGTCCATCCTGTAGATGCTGTGGGATTGCACTTAGGATGATCTGCTCCATAACCTTGCCAGGCACTGAGGTCAGGCTGACAGGCCTGTAGTTTCCTGGGTCCTCCTTCCAGCCCTTTTTGTGGATGGGCTTGACATTTGCCAACTTCCAATCATCTGGGACCTCCCCAGTGAGCCAGGACTGTTGGTAAATGATGGGGAGCAGCTTGGTGAGCTCTTCTGCCAGTTCCCTCATCACCCATGGGTGGATCCCATCTGGTCTCATAGACTTGTGGGGATCCAAGTGGCTCAGCAGGTTGCAAACTGTTTCCTCCTGGATTACAGGGGGGCTATTCAGATTCTTATCTCTTTCTACAAGCTCCAGAAGCCAGCTGTCCTCAGGACAACCTGTCTTACTGTTGAAAATGGAGGTAAAGAAGGTGTTAAATACCTCAGCCTTTTCCTCATCTTTGATAACTATATTCCTGCCCATGTCCAATAAAGAATGGAGGTTTTCCTTGCCCCTCCTTTTGCTATTGATGTATCTGTAGAAGGACTTTTTGTTATCCTTCACAGAAGTGGTGAAATTAAGTTCAAGTTGTGCCTTCATCTCTTTAATTTTCTTTCTACATGACCTAACTATATTCCTAAACTCTTCCCAAGTAGCCAGCCCTTTTTTCCATAATCAGTAGGCTCTCTTTTTTACCCTAACTTCCTTCAAAATCTCCCTGTTCAGCCAGGCTGGTCGTCTTCCCCGCCGGCTCGCCTTTTGGCACACTGAGACAGCCTGCTCCTGTGCTTTCAAGACTTCCTTATTAAAGCATGTCCATCCCTCCTGGACCCCTTTGTTTTCCAGGGCTGTTTCCCAAGATACTCTCTGACCTAGTCTTCTGAATAGGTCGAAATCTGCTCCGTGGAAGTTCAGCATAGAGGTTTTATTGATGGCCCTCCTTGCATCCCTGAGTATTGAAAACTATTATAATTTCATGGTCACTGTGCCCCAGATGGCCTCCAACCACCACATCTCCCACCAGCCCCTCTCTGTTTGTGAACAGCAGGTCTAGTGGGCCCCCATCCATCATAGGCTCATTTACCAGCTGGAGCAGGAAATTATCCTCTGTACACTCTAGGAATCTCCTAGACTGCCTCTTCTCCGCTGTCTGGAGTTCCCAGCAGACATCCAGCTGGTTAAAGTCACCCATGAGAACAAGGCTGGCGATTTTAAGACATCCGCCAGCTGCTTGTAGAATAATTCATCACCCTCAGCATCCCGGTTGTGTGGTCTGTAACAGACTCCCACCAGGATGTCAGCCTTGTTGGCCTTCCCCCTGATTTTGATCCACAGGCACTCAACCTTATTGTTACTGACTTCAAGTTACACAGAGTCAAGAGACTCTAACGTATAGAGCCACCTCTCCACCTCTCCTACCTTGTCTGTCCCTTCTGAAGAGCTTGTAGCCATCCATGGCAGCGTTCCAGTCATGCAAGTCATCCCACCACATTTCCGTGATGGCAACTATATCATAGCTTTCCTGCTTCACGATTGCTTCCAGCTCCTCTTGTTTGTTACCTATGCTGTGTGCATTGGTGTACATGCACTTCAGCTGGGCTGCTGATTTCACTCTTAACTCAGGATTTCCACCCTTATGCTCCTCTCTGGACCCAATGGGCTACACTCAAGGCTGACAAGAGAACCAGCTACCACCCTTGCAAGGCCACTTTCTATCCCCTTTGAATGGTCATGGAGATGGAGATTCCCGACAACTGAAGAAAGACAAATGTTGCAACCATCTTCAAATGCTGCCACAAGGACAAAAGGTCAGATTCTCTTTATTCCCTAGGAAAATAATGGGACGAGTCCTCTTGGAAGGTGTTTCTGAGAACCTGGGAGATAAAAAGATGACTGGAAACAGTCAGCATGGACTTACCAAGTGTAAATCATGCCTGAGCAACTTGGTGGTCTTCTTTGACAAAATTACTAGATTAGTGGACAAGGGGAGAGTAGTCATCTGCTTTTTAAATTAGAGAATAAATCAAATGTTGAAGTTTTAATCATAGTCCTTCATGGGGCTGAGGGAGAAATCTATGTGGTCCTTCCTTTGGAACATAAAGGACATAGACATTAGGAGAATCCTTCAGATTCAATACCTGTTCAAGAAAAAAAACAACCAACTAAAGGATAACACAATTTCTTCCAACGTGTATGTTTTATTTGTTGGATGTTTTTTAAAACCTGAGAGGGTTAACTTAGAAAAACACTGGTGTATTTTGAGTTGAACCTCACAAAGTCATATACCGACTGTAACTATGTATTTGCAAGGTCTATTGGACATCTGCAAAGACAGAAGAAAATTCAAGGATGTGAAATGGGTGACTGGATAGAGACTTGGTTTAGAAAACCCTTTGGCAAACAAAGCCCATTTGAGTCAGGTTATAAGAACAGATGCTAAGTATCTTATCATAACTCTGGAAAACGTCCAATAGGGAGAAGACTCACAATGCCACCTTGACTAAGACAGCTTTAATGATGTGAGCAAAGCCACCAAGTGCTTGACCTACCCTGTGAGCACTAAGCAAAATTTTCAACAATTAGAAAAATATAACAAATTCTTCTAGTATACAGGAATGGTGGGACAAAACAGTTTGAACACTGTGTGTAATACAGAAACTAAAGAACATTGATCTCCAGTAGCTTCCCTACTTTATGTTGTTTCAAATTGTTCTCCTTGGCAAACTCCCTGACAAACTAGTTTCCCAGCACTGCACAATGTGGATTCAGTTTACCTAGTCAATAATTTTGTAGGTAATTTTTCCAAAACAAGCAACACATTCTTTAAGTACAAAATGCAATCAGAATATTTATATTAAAAGCATAGGGATAGAAAAACAGGCAACTCAAATACCTTCCCATTTTGGGCCTATCTTCAGTTTATCTGTTTAACAGATGCTTAGTGCACCAGCTATTCTATAAATGTTTTAGCTCTGTTAGTGTGTTTGGATTTTTTAAGCCTCACAGAAAAGATTCCGTGATTCTGTGAAAAACTGCACAAAATCTATGCCAGCACCTTAGCTCGTGACAGTAAAAACAGCTGTGCTGAACCAATGACCTCCTCCTGAAGCTGTATCTCTGTTAGAAATCAGGCTCACAATCCAGAACACTATCCATGTGAAGCAAGAAAGCATAAAGAGGATGAATGTTGAAAGATAATCATCCACCAGTGTGAAAACTATCAAGAGAAGTCTTCAGTTCCAGACCTCTGAATAGAATGACATTTTAGCTCTTCAAAGCCATCAACTTTTGTGCTATGATTAAGCTGCTTATATGCATTTGAATTGTGCTTGCAAAGGAGTACTGTGCTGTTGCAATACTTCTATAGCCATTTTCAAATTAATTTAAAAACTATTTAAATGGATTACTGCTCTTCATTGTTCTGTGCATCAGATTTCTCTTCCCATATTTTATACATTTATATCTACGCATATACACACACAAAGAGGAAGAAAATTACATAAAAGGAGAGAAAAAAATTTAACTAGTGACTCTCACTTACCCATCCATGAAAGCCTTCTAGGTGAGTTGCAACACAACACAAGGTAAGAAGGTTTGGCACATGGAATGGGTTGTAATCAAGCTCCATTGCCTTCTCCAACACATCTACCCACTCCCTTCAGCACTGCACATTCAACTGCTTTATTTGTTAACAGCTGCTTAAGACACCTCTGTGTCAGCTTTCAGACCTCTGTAAATCCCATTCTCAAGCATTGAATACAGCCCTCGCTCACTGATAAAAAAATCCAGTTTGATAGTTGTTCTGTGGCAGAGAAAATCCATATAATGTCACAGTAATAGGGCACAAAGACTGATCTAGTATAAAAATCACTCTGTCGGATCAAATTTGTTCCAGACATTTTGATGGAATACCTTTGCACTTGCAAAGCTTCACACTGGAGAGGCTATTGTCTATTCTCGCACAGACAGCCAAAATGATAAATCCAGCATGAACTTAGCATTGCTTGCTCTGCTAATTCAACAGGAATGTGATCATGCACCCAAGCCTGGCCTATCTTTCAGGCCATCAAATACTGCACAGATCTGGCACTAAATATCATTTAAGCATGACCAAAGAGAGTGTCAGGACAAAAGACAGTATGGGTGAAAAGACTAACAACCATTTATGTCTGTGACAATTTTGATAACCAATCTCAAAATTCCATTTCCATGCAAAATTTCATTCTCTGAAAATCATTCAGAATGACTAACTTACATGTACTGTGTCCTGCAACACAAGGCATGAACTATATTAAAATTAGAAAAGGACAGATATGGCAGATTAGGCAGTCCACTCTCTTGCATATTGCTCACTGTGGGAATTCTAATAACTACAGGGCACTATCTTGTATTCATAATAGTTTATAAAATGAAATTATACTGCTTCTGTGAGTATTTATATAACCTTTCAAAAATGCAGCAGAACTGTTTCTTCTCTGAGAGCTTTAGGTTCACAAATAGGACATAAATTTTACTTCAACACATACAAAAGCTGGTATTTCCCTCCAGTGAACTTCTACAGAGATATCTGTAAAGAGTTCTTTCACAGTGCCAGCACTATACATTAAACAAAGGGGAAAAAAAAGTGGAAAAAAAAAAGTACCTCAAACCCACAAGCCAAGAGGACATCCGGCAAAATTTTTTATTCTTTTTGATGCACTAGATGGTGATTAATCTGGTGCCATTCTAGCAAAACCAAAAACAAGATTCTAAAAATTAGCAATATCAGGGCAAATACATAATTCTGCTGCAGTAAACAAATGGGTTTTTTCTCTGTTTATGCTGAAGATACATATAAAAAAATACCACTAAATAACAGAGGAACCTAATTGTTAACACATTTATTTTAACTCTCTAAAGAGAAGGTGTGTTACCTGATCTCAATGTTGCAAACTTTTTGGGACACAGTATTTTTATGAAAGCCATTCGAAACCTCATATGACAGAGAGGGTAAAGAAACGGGTTCAAAGAGGAATTGATCCACAAAAGCCAAAAGGCTGCTTCATACAAGGAGTTATGGATGCACTTTCCTTGGCAGGCCCCACGAACAATCATTAATAAAGAGTATGGGGCCCAGCAAATGGCAAACACACAGACAATTATGGCAAGTGACTTCGCGATTTTTTTGTCCCGCTGCAGTTTTGACCCAGTCCTTGAATGGAAAGAAACAGAAAAGTTCCTTTTGAGAGCTGTAGGACTGGTTTCTGTTCTAGATGGACAGTTAGCCATCAATGCTGGTCTCCAAGACCTCGTTAGCGATGAAACACTGTCCTCTGTTTCCGAGGAAGGAGAAGATGCCCCTGACCTTGGCAAAGGGCAAAATCTCCAGGACAGGCTGCTGCTCCTTGGAGGCTCACAGTCCTGCACACTGCCTTGCCGCTGGCGCCTCTGGATGCTGTGGAAGATGTGCATATTGAAGTAGATCACCAGGAGCAGTGGCACAAAGAACTCCAGGGTGGATGCACACAGGAGGAAGTACCAGTTGTCAAAGAACTCGGCGTAGCACTGATCTGCCGCTACTGCACTGTGTCCGGCCACGTGCTCCCAAAAGAGGATTGCTGGGCAATAGAGGAGAAAGGCTAAGACCCATATGGCCACCATCTTGATGGCAGGGTTGGAGGTTATTCCCTGCTGGGCTCTGTAAGATATCTATGAGAGAAAAGGACATCACATATTCAGACAACATTTTGGAAAAACTGTCTCCAAGAAACCAGAAGCAAGTCAAATATGATATTTGTTCTGTAATTTCCCCAGACACCTAGAACATCTTCACTATGTACAGTCCTGAAAAAACTCTTAGTCTTGTTCTTCTTGCACTGTAGCTCTGTGACTTATTTTAACACTTGGGATTGGAGAGGAGCAGAAATTATGATGGCTAAAGTACAATTTGACTTCAAGGTGTGAAAGGACATAGGTTGTTGCCACCGCTTAGTAAAGGAATTAGTAAGGAATCAGTTTATGATTCATTAGCTCAGGCTGAGCAGAGAGCAAAAGCAGCTGTGGGAATTCCTTCCTGCACAGCAAAAGTAGAAGTTTCCTATATTAGATAGGTTGCCATGTGAGACTGCAAACACTAGATAACATCATTTTTAATGATGCTTCCTCCTGCCATAGCAGAAAAATCTATCCCACACATATGCTTTATTTAAATATTCTATTTTAACATTTGCTTTACTTGTTAAAAGCTCATTGCACTACTGAAAATCTTGATGGTTTTATGTTTACCTAGACAGCATATCAAGAATTAAAATCATGACATTCAAAGTTAGGAAATACAGGAGTTAAAACCACCCTGTAGTAGCCCAGCCAGTATGTGCAATACATACTTCCATGTCTCAGTCCCCTGCATCTTTCAGAGCACAAGAAGATTAGTTAATGAAAAGCTGGACAATTTTATTTCCTCCATTCTGTTTAACATTTGACATCTCAGGCTTTCCTCAGAACTATTATCTTCCTCATCACTTCCTATGCCATTCATTAGCGTAGCACTTGCATGCTACACAAATATTAATGTACAGTATCTTCACAGCCTCATATGACACAAGGGGTATTGTCCCTATTTCACCAGCAAGTAACAGAGCAGTAGTGCACTGTTATACACATTATTGTAGATATTTCATTTTACTGTAGCCTGAAGATTCACACTCCTCTACATCTCAAAGCAGCATATTGGCTCAGTGAGCAGCTCCAGTTCTGCAGTAATGAATTTGCAAGACCACAAGCATCTCAATTTAGAGGCAGAAAATAGGAAGCTCAGAATAACTTCACAAAATGTTAAGTCTAAAATGACTGGCACCTGGCCACGAGCCAGGTTTGCAGCATAGTCAGAAGTGGATCCCAAGTCTATGAAGAAGCATAGTATCTTTTCTTTGGATAACAGTCCTATGTTACACACTCCTGGACTCACTCCATTCTAATTACCTAAAGGAGAAAATCAGAACGTGATCATGTAAACAAAGACCATCACTAGCTGCATAAGAACATGGATCTCAGTTGGGTTGCAGAGGCCCTTTTAATTTACATTTTTCACATTTTGAGCTCTGCAACTTCATTAATATCTTAAATATAGGTATTTTCATACTTTACTGTTCAACTTTAAAACAAAAAAAAAAGAAAGATGGAGAAGGACTTTGTACAAGGGCAAGTAGTGACAGAACAAGAAGGAACTGAAAGAGGGTAGGTTTATGTTAGATATTAGGAAGAAATTCTTTGCTGTCAGGGTGGTGAGGCACTGGAACAGGTTGCCCAGAGAAACTGTGGATGCCCCATCCCTGGAAGTGTTCAAGGCCAGGCCAGATAGGGCTTTGAGCAATCTGGTCTAGTGGGAGGTGCACCTGCCCGGGGCAGGAGCATTGGAACAGATTATCTTTAAGGTCCCCTCCAATCCAAACCATTCTAAGATTTTATGACCAAACACCACATAGAGCTTAGAAATGGTGAATGATAATATTTATTACTGAATACCTTGGATATCTTCCGTAGCAGAAGAATGACAACACTCAAGAAACACCTCTTACCTCTCCACATATTGTGATTCATTCTTCTTTCTGCTTCAAGGGCTTAGTTTCCACTCAACTGCTTGTTGGCAGCGCATGCCAATCACCCCCTGGGGTAATTCAGATCTTCACCTGATCTTCACCCAGTCCATCCCACATCTCCCTCCATACCTCTTCTTATAAAGCCTAAGCATATCCTTGACCCCATCCAGTTTTCATCACACCTCTTCTAACAGCCAAAGCCCAAGTTTTCCACACGCCTGCTGTCCCTTTCCTACCTTAGCCTTCCCACCTTCTCTGTAGTGTTATTAAATAAATTCTAATGCAGATGGCAGGAGGGTAACATCGAAATTATAGACAAGGCAATGTCCTATCTCTAAGTGCCAATGCAACACTGAAGAATCATCATTTTTCAGAAAAAAATGCTACAATAATGAAGGACTATTTAGCTTCTACTGTTAATAGTGAATAGTCTGAGTTTTATAGAAATTCCAATATATATAAAGCTATAATTAGAAATGTTATTCTTACAGCTTTTGTAACTGACAGGAAACGGTCGTAGCTGATAAGGACGATGCTAAACACTGAAGCTGCACACACGAGATAGTCCATAACAAGCCAGACCTTGCACAGGCCTTGTCCCAAGTGCCACGTCCCTGTCAGGGCATAAGGGATGTACAAAGGCATACAGAACACACCTATGAAAATAAAACAAGCATACATGTCAGTCAGCACTGTAGGGAGTGCTTGTCAAAGCATAGAAACATTTCTGTGGTATCTGATAAAAGTAAATCAATACTGACTGGAATTGCCACATGGAAGGCTTTGTATTATCATGCAACCAATGAAAACTTTACAACAAACTAGGCACTAGTAACATTCTTACAATTAATACCTCTCTGAAAGGTGTATTGTGTTTATTGTGTATCATTATTACTTCTGTTAATATCACCTGCTAAAGGAAGGAGCAGCTGACTTTTTTACCTGCTGAAGTAAACACTATTCTGTATTAATTGCTGAAATTAAAACAAACAAAAATACCTTTTCCCCCAATATAATTCACTAACTGCTTTCTACAATAAATTATCCAACTGCCATGCTTCTATCCTCTTAGAAGCATGATATGGTGTCCAAAAGTGTTCCAGAAGTAACTTTTTACAGAAATCTGAGTTTCAGACTAATTTTTAAAACTATACAATCAGAAGGCTGACAAAAACTGCACAGTTAATTAAACACACCCAGCATAACATTTCTTTTCATCATAATTCCTGATCATAACCACTTTTCAGTGGTGAGCTGATAGGGCATTATCTATGGGAACACACCAAGACATGGGACCATACATGAGTGACCCACCCGTACCCATGGCTATCTAAATTTAGGCTGTTAAATACAAATGTTGTGAAAGTGACAATATTACCTTATTTTAATGAGTTTCGAGGTGATCACCCTACACAGAGACACAATGCAGCCTTGGGAGGCTGAAAAGCTAGTGGTGGAGTTTGCTAGGATGCAGAAATGCAGTGAACAGCATGAACGCTGCAATGGAATGGAATCACTGCATCTATAGAGCAACTAATGCTTGCTCTTTCAAGTAAAATGCCATATTATAGATTTTACCACTCATGGGGGGAGAAAAGCTATGATTTCAACTTTAGATTTACTACATAATAGTGTGTACTCCTGTAACAGGTATTGAAGAGTATCTTGAGAGTCTCCATTTCCATAAAAATAACAGAATTCCTGTTATTCTCTCTCTACTAAGAATCAAGAGATTTCTATTCAAATCCAGCTATAGGTCCAGAAGCACAGAGGTAATGCAAAAGTTGCTGAATGTCAAAATCAGATAGATTGGATATGTTCAAAGAATAAGCAAATGACTGCAAGCTTTCAGCAATTAGGATCATGCAGAAAGTAAGAATAATTTAGGTATATCTCAAATCTAAATTATGTAGCTATGGAAATACAAACAAGTTTGACTCTAATGTAGGCAAAGCTTTTAACCAAATTTAGAATTAAAAACTAGACATTGTGGTAAACATAATATCAGAAACAAAAACTTATGGAAATTAGGTAATGCCAAGTAAGCTCTACTTCCTTCTTTGACAGAGTACATTATTTACTTCATACTTCCCAGCTAGATGCTAGTATTTGTACACTGTGGTGCTACACTGTGAACCAGATGACAGAACACCACTTTATCCACTGAGAGTTTGGGGTTTTTTTCTGCTGACTGTGGTGCTTTTTTCCTGTATAATGCAACTGCACAGCAGACAACAAGAGCTCTGTGGCACAACAAAGCAGATGTAAGCTGGAAGAAAAAAATCAAGCATATGGGGGAAGCATATGAGATCTGGACATCACAAGGACAGGACTATTAGAATCTGTGCCCCTAACAGAACTTCTGATACTAGCAATAAATTTTAAGTAGAGTTTTTTCTTTTCTTTCAGTATTCTTTTTAAATGTGTGGCTAAAAAATAGTAGAATAAAAACAGTTTATCCAACTGCCATTTTTTTGTGATATGACAAGTCAGAATATGGATTTCATGAAATAGCCACAACTGTTCAAAACCATCCTTCTACACACCAAATAATCTAATAAGACTTTTAGCAAAGACACTCAACACTTCACAGAATATTGTAATACATCAATCTTCAACAACATATCACATTTGTGTCTTAATTGTACTTTTTCTCAGTACACGTTCAAAATTAAATGTGTCCCTATTTACAAATATATACATGTAAAATCAAACTTCTTAGTAACTGTTTGTTATTTTTATTTACCTATACAAACACATATTCCTAAGGTATTGCTCTAGATAGAGCATGTATAGCAAAATGTTTAAAAATGCTATTCATCACTATTTAATCACAAACGTCAGGTGATTATCTGTATTGAGTGACACCAGACTGAAACAGAAGATATCGACCAGGTATGGAATATCTGCCAGGCAATACATGCTGTAATTGGACTATCTAAACTTCCATCAAAACTCTTCATAAACAACTTCCATTATTTGTTATTCTGTAAAATTCACACAGAGTAGTATTTTATCCTGAAGCAGTAACATTAAACATTACCTGTTTACCTGACAAAGCATCCATTTTTTTTCTGAAAAATCATAGGCTAAAATACACCACGCAACTTCCACCAATTCTTTCCCTTCCCCTACAAACATTTGGGAAATAGTTATCTTAGAAGAAACCACACAGAAAATAAAACCCAGTGCTTCTCCTAAGATTCCCAGGACACAATTAGCACAGGCCTCCACCACTGTGACTTACCCACTGCAAAGTCAGAAACAGCAAGATTGAGAAAGAAATAGTTACTCCGATGCCTGAGGTTTCTGTCCAGGATGAAAGCAAGGATCACCAGGATGTTTCCAAGGATGGTGACCAGACATAGCAACACCATGAGGAAAGCCAGCAGCACCAACACGCCCAGGGAAAACTCAGAGCTGGGTGACTGGGTGGGCCGAGTCTCATTACACGCTGCAGCCACATGCAGAGTTCCGGCAGTGCTGTTGTGCATGTTGTGTATCCCGGTCAGTTCAGCCTGGGAAGAAAGCTGTATCTGGCAGAGTTATCCAAAAGGTTGGGATTCACAAGGGGTTAAAACAAGATGGGTCAAAAATCCAATAAACATCAAAACCAAAATTGTCTCAGGACAGGAAAAAAGTAAAAGCTTTTGATGCTAGATAAATCTAATTTTCTTAAGATATTTTAAACCATATAATTCTGGAAGAGTAACTGGTTAAGAAAGATGGGTTTTTTTCAAGTTCGTATTTTAAAATGCAAGTTCTTCTTTAAGCAACCTGATTCTTATCTGTGGAGGTCAGGATGGCTGATTTGAGGTTCTCTCTTGCTTTCCTCCCTCCCTTCCTCCCTCCCTCCCAGAAGTGTTTTGCTTGCTAGCATTATGGACAATTTTTTCTGAATTTTTTCCTCAATCCTGTGTACATATCTTAATGAGAATTTAAGCTATTTTCTAATTTCATCCTTGCTTATCTGGTGTAATTGCAATTCAGCAAGTCTGTGGTTCCTCTCTGTTGTATCTTTCTGTTGACCAAAGACATGCTTGACTTCATTGTTGTTCTTCTTTTTGTGGACTCTAGGGCTGAAAACTGATATGATGTAAATAACCATATATAGAATTACTTACCAGTTAACCAGTAATGGTCCAACCCTCAGAGATCACCTGCAAAACTTCCACTGAATCACTTTCAAAACTCTGAGCATCAACCCCAGTGACACAATATCAGCTGCTGCCACACCAGAACCGAGGAACTAAAATATCAATGCCCTGAACATGAATGAGAGCTTGGCAATTAACAGGATGAGGCTTTTTTTCCCCACACTGGTGGGAAAAATCGTGTGTCTTCCACAAATGCTTATAGTTTGTATGAGTAATGAAGCTACTTGCAGAGAGCTGTGAGTATTCCACAGTTGTAAAAATTCAATCACTTTTATCATGGGTTCTAAAAACACTTTGGTGTCTAATTTTAGACACTTAAATCTGAAAAATACTGGCTGTCATGTCTTCTGTTGTGGGAACAAATTCATTAGCAATTGCCAACTGCTTTTACTAAATGTTTGGATGGTTGCAGTACAAAAAATGCAGAACTTTATTATCCATGCAAATATCTTCCCAGCATGCAAGTCCATTATTGCTTTAAGCTTTATTTCATTTCCAGGTAATGCAGAAAACACACTATAGCATGACTGCTTAGTAATATCACTAGCCTGTCTTCTGCTAGCCATACTGAAGCCTCAAGAGTAAACTCAGCAGCTTCACTGTTTTTCATGAGAACCAACTGACCTTGCCAAATGGCTTAAATCTTGGGGTGCTTTCTAGGTGTATATAGCTACCTAATTCTTTTCCATCTCCATCCCTCAACATTTCTTCTTGGAGTTAACTTAGATTTAACTTGGTTTCTTGAAATCTTAAATATCCAGTTCTTCCACACCATGCCTGGAAAGCCTGTGTGTAGCAAGTAGTCTACAAATATGCTTAACAGTGGGTCCACTAAATGAGCTTTTAGAAGAATTATTGTGTGGCTATAACTATGATTAAATCAGTATAGAACACAGGTCTACACAGAAAAAATATCTGAAGTAGCTAATAAACAGCTGATTTTCATTTTTTTATTCAAATAGATGTGTTAGGCAATAAATGCATACCACAGGTGAACACACGAAAAGGATCCACAGTAAATGTTCTTTTTCTCTTTTCTTCTTTCCCCCACATTAAAAAAGAACACATATAAAACAGTAGAAGCACCACTCTGAATTACCTGCAATATCAAGAAATTACAAACAGTCCAGAATTGCTATGCTGCACTGAGACAATTATCTTCACTTTTAAAAGTTAAGGGTAGTAGATTTTAGAAACGTCACCTTTTCATATATCAACATGGAAGATCTCCAGATACATGTAGGACATTTATAAGAACTGTTAAGTCTCAGAACCACTTGTAAGCTTGTAAAAATAACAGTTCTGCTCCACTGCTCAACTGTCTTGAATTAATTAAGGCTCTTCTACCTACAGTCTCTGTTTGAAAGATAAACCACCTACCAGTTCTTCAGAAGGTACTTGGCTAACAAAATAGCCCAATCAGAGAGCAGATACCAAGTCTTGGTCTGGTCACTGAAGTTTGAGACACAAAGAAAAATAAATCATTCTGATACTACCTTGTCGGAGACTGTGGTACTGTAATGGCTAATCTGTTTTCATCCATACTCCCAATTCACTTCCAGAATAGCAAAGCAAAAACAGTAACATAAAGAGATTAGACAACCGAGTGGCCAAAAAGACAAAATAAAAGCCACAATCCACCTTTTCCCGCTAGTGTTTGATACTTCATTGACATATTTTTATGACAGGCAACTGTACTTTAGGTATGAATTAATTCCATACTCCTTTTCTTCTTTTTGACAGATACTGAAATTTGTTACTCTTCCACAAGTAGGGACTATGTCTTAAACAAATTCACAATATTTGATAACAAAAACGGTCAAAACTGCTGCTTTGGTTTAACATTATTTTTAATTTTCAAGCAGAATTTATAAAGTTAAGAGTTGTTGCCAGCCATTTTTGTAACCTCCTTCCCTTGTTGGATCTTCCTCTTAGAATAAAGGAAGTTTAAACTTATGAAATGCTTGCAAACAGAAATACAATTACTACAATCTCAAAACTCTCAGAAAAGCAATAGAAACTCTGCAATACATAAGTCAATAAAGTACTTGAAGTGAATGTCAAAATTTTTACTTTAAAAGAGTCTATCTATAAGACAAACTATGAACAAGAAATACTTGTATGACCAAAAAAGTAAAAGACACACACAGTGCGGATCTCCTTTCCTGAGAGGAAAGACATTTTTAGTATCACAAGTACAAATGCTAAGGCTGAACTCAAAAGACCTTTGCTACGCAGACAAGTTAGTGTAACTTCGCAAAACTGTTTTAATAAATCAATGCAGGAATCAGCACGTTTGTTTTGGTTTTTAATCATGTATTTTGGTGGCATTTTTTAAGTTACTGGAATTGCTAATCTCAGTTGCTCTATCAAACTCTGAAAGAGTTACTTTGATTAGATGAAGTCTGCTTTGAGAGAAAGGTTTTCTGGGGTACCTGTGCTGGAGAACTATAATGAACAATCCAGTGTAAGAAGCTATCAGCAAAAAGTTATATACCAAACTGGTGGTCGAGTAAGATAGTCTTACAATTACACCTTTAAACTATGTAAGTGCCACTGGAGACAAGTCATTAAAAATAGTCACAGACCTGACATATGAGCAAAATATATAAGGTGCACCTAACCTAAGGAAGTACCTCTGACTAAGAGGTCAGAAAGTTTAGGAAATAACTTGAGAAAACAAAAACAAAAAACCCAACAGAACATTAAAATCTACCCTCTCCAAGTGGAAGATATCAAGGGTACATTAAAAAAAAATTTCATCTCATCTAAATAGAAATATGACAATTAACTGACAAAACATCCTGGTGGGTTTGTTTTGTTTTGCTTTGCTTTTTTTAAAATGCATTAAAGCCTGAAAGCCATTAATAAAAGACTAGAAAATTCAAGTCTTTGTGATCGTATCAATAACACTTGCTTTTTTTCCCCCACTCTACACCAACACAAGTCTTCAAAATGTTTATATCTTCATTACTAGATGTAACAGTCCTATTTCAAAATCCCCATGTACTTTGTTGACACCACTGGTTCCTTTAATTATGCAACACTTAATTCTCAGTTTTTCAACAGGCTCCCAGAGTCCTGATTGTCTCAGAAGAATCCTCAAAGAAATTTTTAGTAATTTCATCACATTTCTTAGTTTATTGCCCATGTTTAGCCTTTCTTATGTCACCAAGCAGGCCCTATCTAGCATCTGACTGAGAACTGCACAGGCAGGACCAGGCTCTCCAAGGCCATACAGCACTCGGCCACATGCATTCCTTTTACAGAAGAAAATCTGAAACTTAGAAAGTAACCTGGTGTACAAACAACTCTAGTCTCAGCCTTAATACAAAAAACTAGAGAATTCAATTACTAATACAAGACATTTGAATTTGAATCCAGGAATGGAGAAGATGAGAAATCCACATTAGTAATTAGTCTGCTGTTGTTTGTTGGGAGGGGGTGGGATGGGGTCGTGGTTCCAGATGCTGTAATGTCCTCATAAAAAGGAGCTGAAATGTATAAGAAACAGAGCAGTTGTGTCTAAGTTCTACTTCAGAACAGCAGAAAAAAAATCACAAAAAAGATGAAAATATATCTATATCTTTACTGAATTCTCTTCTGAATACAACATATCTGTTGTACCGGATAAGGCAATAAGGTCCAGGTTTTCTTTGTATAAATATGTGCAAAGTAATATTTTAAAGTTTTTAAAAAATAAATTAGTGTTCTGTTCTCTTCTTGTTGTCCTTCCTTATCTTTTTGCTCTTTCCTGCTTGTCTAGATGATTCTTCCTGAAATGAAAAACAAACATTTCAAAATTTAAACAATATTCTTGTTAACACAACTATTCTCTCAAGGTAACCATTGAGAATTATTTTTATTATGAACAGTGTTCATAGTTCACTGGGATTTATGAAAATTTTGAGTTGTATAATATTTATCCATTCAGTCTTGCTATTTAGAAATTTCTGCCTTCAGCAATGACAAAATTACAGACGTAGCTACACCAACAGAATATAATATAAAAATAATCTCAGCCATTTCCACTCAGGGAAGAAGTTACCAGTATAGAAATAATTCTATAGCACTATACTGCAGAACTCCTCTTAGCGTGGATGTGGCCTCATCACAAGATACACCAGGGCATTAAAACTGCTTTGCTTCCCTAAGCGAAATAAACCTACAGCGGGAAAAACAAAATTTGGCCAATCTTGCTGGATCAACACTGTAATGTACAGTTTACTCTGACTGCCAATTCTGAAAAACAAGACTTTTCTTTGGTAGGCATTCATTGCAAGCACTCCCCAAAATGGTGAAGGAATCTGACACTACATCTGACGAGAACACATTTTAATCTATTCCTTTCTATTCACACGGGAAATGGACTCAAACAGGTTGTTTGAACTCTGATATTCTGAAGTTAGCTGAAAGAATACTTTCTCCAAGAGCCACATCCATGGCACTAGAATAATCATTACCCTAAGTTCCATCTGTTATTTTTCTGATGGACACTGGTAACCAAATATGTTTGTTAATACACAGTAAAAAAAACCCAGTCTGTTTTAAGTTGTTAAAAATAGAAAAAGTAGGTATTTTTTTGGTACTAAACCTTCTCAGGAGGGTAAATACTTAAAAATCATTCATTTCCTTTTATTTTACGTGCAATGTTTTCAAAGAAAACACTGATAAACTGTCAAGAACATGAATCACCAAGTATATACAAGCATGTTTAAAATGGAAAAAGCAAATAACTGAAAAGTGGAGGGGGAGAAATGCCAAAGAATGCTCAGCCTTCAGCCATAGCTACCTGAAATACTTTCATATACAAAAAAAACCCTGACAGCTGCATAGTTTTTCAACTATCCATTAGTAATTATTTCCTACTATCTAAAACTCTCTGTCGTTAGCAATTACATACTATAATGCACATAGATATATGTAATATGGTCTTCTGAGGATGAAGAAGTGTTGATTCTGAGGATGAAAAAATGTTGAGAAACAAGAATGTGAGATTATTAAATGACCTGAGTCCTTTAACAAGTAAAATGCCATTCAAAGTCATTTGGAACTTTGTCTCCTGAGTTATTTAAGCTCCCTTGGAACATTTTACCATAATTTTTTCTGTACCAGTAATGTTACTTCACTTGAATTCTTCTAGTCTGGATGTTTTTTTAATGGTGTCTATCATCTATAATTCTGAAAACTTCTTTGAGTCTAACAAAGCTTTCCATTTTGAAAATGCCTACTCGTTACAGAGATTCTCAAGCTCAGTCTGCCTGCAGACTAGAACTGGTGGCACAGGGAAGCATTAGAAGTGGCAGCTTCCAGTTTTCTGAACACAGAAAGAGGCATTTCCCTTTTATCATCCTCCCCCAGCTCTCAAATTTGTGTTTTGATCAATGTTCTCAACTGCTTCTACCCTTCTGCTGCACACCTCACACTTACAAAACAGGTCACTAGCTTCCTTGGAAGTTCTCTGCACTGATCCTGTTAGTGCATCAAAGCAACCCAAGGATGATACAGGTTGTATTACTTTTCTTCTGGCTTCACCTAACAGGGAAAACTCACACAAGTTCACATGCAAACGCCCTTCTAAGGGGCAGAAACTTACCACTGAAGGCACATAGTCATATTCCACAAGTACGTTTCTTGCACAATTGTTTATATGTTTGAAACGATCTGGTCCTAAGAGAATGCCTCCATACCAGCGGGATACCACAACTAACACATTGTGGACATTCAAAATCTGTGAATAACAGAAAGAAATAAAAGTTGTTCTTTTTTAATCGAACTAGTTTTACTGTTGGCGCCAATTTTAAACATAGGAAAAAAGTTTACTATCTTGC